AACTTGTATAAGTATACACCAATAAGAATGCATTAATAGTATGTCAAGCATGCGCAAAATTTCCGGATACTTTTAGAAAAAGAGAGACGTTTCTCTTTTCAACCTTCCGCGGACATAATCATATCTGTATTACCAGTTCATACATAAGGTCTATGATATACTGTGGTTCAAACGCTATGAGTGGTCAATTGCAACGTGATCAAAGGGATCCCACCCGACGAAAACAAGAAATAGTATAACTTTTTCTCAAACATATAGTTGCTTAAATATGAGGCGGTGATTAATTGTTACGTCTGACAGTGAGTTGTGCGGCCATTGCTTAGTTCTTGTATTCATCCTGTGATAAAAAAACTATCTTTTGTTATAATTAAAAAAATTTGTTTTTGAGCAAAGTTTTGTAAAAAAAAAAACGTCTCAGAATCTAATCAGGATTATGTTATATATTGGATATTGGCTCATTCTTACGTGACCCACGACATACGACGTTGTAGAACAGGTTTTAAGGCTATATCAGATTAGCGGTTGCCAGATTACGGTTGCTGATTAATGATTTTACTATTATCAATCACATTGATCATAACTAGGATCTGCTACATTGTGATTGGCTGAAATAGAATCGTCAACCGGCAATCGTTGCAGCACAACCGCTACTAGTCTGATATGGCTTTTAGGCCCATTCTACAATGCGTCGTGTGTCGGTGTCGTGAGCCGTAAAAATGGATCAATCACAATTAAGTATTCTCCTCACATTCGACTATGACTGGTCAATTCTTGTGGCTTGCGACACCGACACATGATACATTGTAGAATAGGCCTTAGAAAGCTGTTCTTAATTAATATTTCAATATAATGTTTCTGAAATTTTTGTTATATAGCACAAAAAGTTTCAAAAAGTTTTCAGATATTTTTCAAAAATATTTCAACCTTCTGAAAGTTTTCTGAACCTTCTATTGTGTATTCTATTTTATTTTAGAAATCAAATAAGAAATATTTCTATTAAATATCTTGGTAACACATTAGGAATATTTCAATATTAGCTATTACATAAAAGTGAGATCCAATCGGACACATTACTGATTGGTCGATTAAATAAAAAATTTTTGATATGTGGCTTACTAGAAAATTTCTAGACATCGGTTGTGAATGGTGTGTTCAATTGAAAACGTATGCATCTAGGACGCTCTCATTACATAATATTTCAATGTAATATTTCTGAAATTTTTCAATGATATATGTTTTTAAACATTACGTAATATAAACATTACGAAATATTTCTATGAAATGTTTCAAAATATTTCTGAAATATTTTAGTAACAAAAGTAAGAAATGATTTCAACGAAATATTTCCCAAACATTTCTAAAATATTTCTATGTTATATTTCAATATCAACTTCCGATTTATCTTCCCGAAAGGTTTCTAAAAAATGTTGTGCTGTGTAGGTTATGTATATAAAGTCATAACTTCAATTTATCAACATCGAGAATATAAATGATGAACTGCAATTGTTGTAATCTTTTAAAGCTTGTTTGTTATAAGTGATCTTATAATTTAAAAAGTTATAGTTTAATTAAAAAAAAAATTTTTTTGATGATTTTTACTTTTTAATTTAATGGAAAATTACATACTTTATGTAACTTAAGAATACATTTTAAATGTGTTATTTAAGCATGTCCAAAAAAGCATTGTGTGCCGCCGGCTTAATACGATGCTTACTTCTTTTCATGAACAGCAAGTGCAGCAGAAGTTGTTCTAAAAAAATTTGAATCACGTGACATTCTTGCTGCCGCAGTGTACTGAGTATGAAAAGATACCTTTACACGTCAGTTCTGACTTGCACTAATTCAGTTTAATTAAGTTCTAGTGCAGCTCTAGTGCGGGAATAAAAAACAAACCGCTCGTGCTGTCTTGGAACTAGGCGATGTTCCTCACTAACCAATTTCTCGAAAAAAAAAAAAACCAATAGCTCTTCTTCAAGATTTTGTCGATTAATTTTCTTTTCGATTAATCGATATTTTTTTTCTCGACATTAATACATTAATTCTTTATTTTAAAGACCTGTTCTACAATGCGTCGTGTGTCAGTCGCAAGCCGCAAGCCACAAGAATTGATCAGTCACAGTCGAGTGTGGGAAGAATACTTGATTGTGATTGGCCCATTTTTACGGTCCACGACAGTAACATGACGCATTGTAGAACAGGACTAAAGATCTATCTCTGCTTCATTTTGAATCCTCTTTTATTGATAAAAATGCCTCTAAAAATAGCTTCCAATTGGCTGTGTGTTTTTAGAGGCATCTTTATATCTTATAAAAGAGAATTGAAAATATGGGCCTTTGATTATGGATCGAAAATCGGCATGTTCCAGAACACGACTGTCGAAAAGATCATAATCGTTGTCGCTCACTGCCGACGACTATGAATTTTCAGCCTTAATATTTTAGCACGTTCCAAAAACGTTCAAAAGAAAATGTTGCACTTTTTAATATGCTCACATATGTACAAATATGAATACAAATTTATATTCGTATGTAAATACAAGTTACGTCTTTTTTTAATTGAAATGCACCATTTTTGTACAAAAAATATATATTATATTCGATACGTTGAATTTATGAGATAATAATTCTTCCTTCAATGTTGAACTTTATTTTTTAATTTTTTTTATGGTGTAGAGAAGATACCAAAGGCGCACCTCTTTCTCTTCCTCCTTTCTTTTTCTCCTTCTTCTCTTCTTCTCTTCTTCTCACATTTTCATTCTCATCGAATCATGTATAGATATCAATTCTCTTTCGAGTTTAAAATTACGTCTCACCACTTATGCTCGCTATTAATCATTACATGTGATTATAAAGCTCGCTCAAGCTTCGATCAAGATACAAATATCTTTATCGTTCTACAGAGAAAAGACAAGATGTATAATTCGAGCTGCTCTCAACAACGCGAGCCGAATTTTCTCGAACATGCGTTTTAAGACTTGTATTCTTCGATGTTTATACATCAAGTATTGAAAAATATTATAGATGATCGAGATATCTACAATGTGTTCACAAACTAAACTCCTTTTCTTCAAACATTTGTTTGGATAATTTTTTTAGAATGCAAATACAGACATTATAATCAAGCATTATAACTATATAAATAGTCTTCAAGATTACAAGATTACTGCGCCTCATTTTGGGAAGAGAATTTTTATCACTAGATGAAAAAAAGAAATCAGGTACGTGTAATAGTATGAATAGTAAAAATAGTAAAAATAGTAAAAAAAAACATCATCCTGTCAATCGGCCGCAGTTATCAATGATTGCGCATCTAATAGACTCTCGGTTAGAAGAATCGAATTATTCATAATTGGGGCACTAACGGTATCGTCAGTTCTGTTGTTACTGAAGGGATAAAAGCTGTCGATATTCGTTTGAAGAGAATAAATACCGACCTTATCTACCGGTGAAACGCAGTTGTCGTTTATTCGAAGTTGATTTATGTCGTTTTGTAATAATCTAATGTAAAGTTCGATATGTCTTTGTCCGCCATTACGGATCTCAAGAGTTGGTATCCAACGAAAGTAGCACTGCGTCCAAAGTTCTAGACTAGAAACCGTGTATAAAGGTTTTATAATTGTCCTATTTTCTTTCTTGTCGCTACTATGGGGAATAAATAAAGGGTTATAAAATAACAAGATATCTTGATCGTTGAATTGCTCTCGCCAGTCCCAAACACTACGCAGTACAAGAGGTGTGTTAGGATCCTAAAAAATCCAAGAGGTAATGCTCATATTATTTATTATTGATTTGATACTTGCGGCAATGTAAGTGATTTCTGAACTGAAATTGTTACCATAGCTGCCACTGCTCGATCTCTCTCGCAGTTGAAAATAAAGGTATCGAAAATAGAGACATGTGCCGCGTCCCATAGTGTAGTTAAATACGTTTCCGTGAATTCAAATTCCGTTGGATATTGCTGACATAATTGCCAAACACAGTCAAGATATAAGAGAAATAATGGAGACTGTGTAAATCCATGAAAATAATTTGCCAGCATAAATACGTCTTGAGCGTTTTAACTAAAATTTAGCCGAGCTAGATGCTATGCGTACCTTTTCCGAATTAGCTTTCACGATATGGCCTAATCTATCGCAAAACGGATGGCCACCAGCGACCCATTCTTTTTGTAACAACGATTGGAAACCTGTTATAGTACGAAAGTGGTGATCCAGTAACAGTTGTGCTAAACTCGATATAACACAGCACAAGTCTCTGGCAGCACCTTCTAAAAAGAACTTTTGTTTACAAGAGATCATTGCTCGTTTGACAAACTTAATTTCTTTTTTTCTCTTCTTTAGAAAGATTACATTTTTCTTTTATGCCAGCCGCATTTGAAATAGAACTCAACAGCTACCTTGTAAGATGACAGAAATTCCTAAATTAAGACGATCGCAGACTTCGACAGTCTTTTGTAGGCAATACGATATGTATTTAAGCCATTTTGTATTCTCTAATAACGAATAAAAATTATTATCTTGAATCCAGAATTGTCGAATGTTTTCTGAAATAAATATTTAATTTTTAGAAACATTCCTTTCCTTAATTCTTTTTCTTTTGCAGTTTAGATAGTCGGTACTATCATTGCGATGCTGCACGCACGCACACACGCACACACGCACGCATACGCATACGCATACGCATGTATACATAAAATCACATACAAGATGAAAGATTTACCTGGTGCACATAAACTAATAAATTTAGTGAAACTTGCCGCTATTAACTTTACGTTAATTTCTTTATTCAATTCGATAACAACTGGAGGTATTTTTTGAGGATGGCTTTTACGAACGTTTTCAAACATAATATTTTCCTGCATCCTCTCTGTAATCGTTGGTAATAATTCTGACATTTTTACTAATGCAGCACCATGTTCATTTGTCCATGACCATACTGGTGGTCTATTACCTTGAAAATGTCTAGCTGCATCTGTTAATTGATTGTCAGTCACAGACGCAGGTACCACTACATATTGTGATAAACTGTAAACAATGGTAATGAATTCACCCATGTGATGCTTCAAACATTTATATACGTTATACAATGAATTGTGTTGTATAACAAACAAGTTACCTAGGACAAAAGTGAAACTTGGCGTTAACCATGGATAATCTCCAACCTTTTCTCATCTCATCGCTACATAACGTTCTCTTTAATTCATTTTGCCAGTCTGAGACATCTCGAAATAGTTGTACATTTTTATCAAGACTACTGTAATAAGCTTCTCTATAATTAGATAAAGATGCATATATATCATGAGAAAAGAGATAGAATGAAAGGAATGGAAGGAAGGCTCTCTCTTTATGATATAACATTGTAACTTTGACACAATGTCACTTGAAATTGAAGTACAATACTAACTTGTAATCATAGGCAAATAACAGTTGATGTCTGCTAGGGAAAGCATGATGCAATAGCGCAGTTAGAAGATTCTTACCATGCCCAAGAGGTGAAAATTTGAAAGAAAACAACCATGTCCTTAGATTCTGCAATATACAATACAATACATAATTCTTATGACAATGACAATCATATTGTACAATAAAATTACTTGTTTTAAATAACTCTTAGCTAATTATAAATTAAAGTGACAAAAAGCTATATATTTTTCCATTATAGAGTTTCTTAATGTCAACTCAAATTAGTTACTACGATATATATCATAAGAAAACGTACTTTGCAAATAATAAATATCCCTTTCACTTTGGACGGCACTGTATTACCAGGAACTAGCTTTCTTTTCTTATCACCCACTACTATATAAATTTCATCAATATTTGTCAAACATGTATCCATATATCCATACAAATGGTTTTGTTGATGAATAACATTCTGTAACAAATTTTATATAATTTCATCAATCATTTAAAGATTTACCTTTCATAATAAAATTTTTAAGTTAATGATGTTTATTATTATACCTCTCCGTTTGAATCACTACTAGTAACAAAAGTAAGTTTAAAATTGGTCACTGACAAAACACCAGATATGCCTTGTTTCAGGTCACTGACGGGTGAAAACATAAGGACACTTTGAGCCTCGGCAATAAGAACTTCTCCTGGCAATAATTTTATATTATTTTCAATTAATGAATTACGTCGACTGGAACTGAAAATCTACGAAAAAGAAAGAGAAAAGGTTAGCATCGAGTAGCGATTTAAATTCAGATTTATCTCAAATCTCATTGATTGAGATTTCGAATGAGAATTTATAATAACGAAAGATCACAATTATATGGACGAGAATATTTATGTAGCTAAATACAGTTGGCAATTACCTGCATCTCATGTTCTTCCAATCCCACATAACTAATAAAATTGTTACTACTTTTGTTTTCCATGACAGATATTTGATATTTTCACGATGTGATAAAAACTGAAATTTACAGTTTTATCACGGATCGTGTAGACGCATAGACGCATAGATGTATAGATGAACAAACATGCAGACGTGCAGATGTGCAAATTTGCAGACGCATAGAAGCGCAGACGCGTGATGACGAGAAATGCAAATGTGAAATAATGATTTGTTTAATTTTTTTCGCATAGTTGAATCTTAATTTATTAGTAATTTTTATCAATTTTGATATCGTGTTCGGAAAAAACAATAAACCCTGCTTGATAAAAATGATACACCGATGTACGAGCACAGTATATACAGTAGCGCAACTCTCTCGATTTTAGCGTGTATAAAATTGAACTGCACATGCGCGAGTTAAATAGGTAACCAATCACGTAACTAATTTTCTATCACACTTCTTCTCGGATTTTTCTATAGCGTTCTCTGTCATTTAAATGCTTGACAAACTGGCGAGAACAAACGTTTGACATATAGGGTGCAGTCCACTTGGTGCTACAAATGCTTCGAAGCATTTTTTGATTGGTCAATTCATAAAATTCTTTGTTCTGATTGATTAATCAAACGCTTCGAATTTTTGTAGCGTTAAGTGGACCTTTTGTAGCCACAGAAATGAAATAAAAAGTTTACTCTGTGAGTGTCGGTCCACAATAAATGATTTAAGCTTTAAGAAGTAAGAAATTGACCAATTATAATCGAATATGAAAAGAATAATCGACTATGATTAGTCAATTTCTTACGGCTTAAAGATTAAATACTTATTGTGGACCGACACTTAGGCTGATGGCAAAGAATGAGACGTAAGCACTTATGTTTATCGGATTAACTCGAGCATCAATTACGTATTTTTCAGTGACATAGTTCACTTTTAGATTTTCATCGGTAGCCATCTCACGGTTTCACCGTTTGTCATTTTCATTGCGATCACGCAACGAAAGAAATTATTAGTACCAGTAAGTGTCGATCCACAATAGGTGATTTAAGCTTTAAGAAGTAAGAAATTGACCAATTATAATCGAATATGAAAAGAATACTCGACTATGATTAGTCAATTTCTTACGGCTTAAAGATTAAATACTTATTGTGGACCGACACTAACATAACTAGAAATAGTGAAGACCTATTCACATCAAAATATTCCAAAATCTACACTGAAGACAACTTCACGATTGTAAATATAACCTTAATATTTAGCAAAATAAAGAAGTACGAACTTCGAAATAGATATTTATATCCATGCAAAGAAGATAAATACATCAACGACAATAAGGAAGACAATTACTAATAATTGTAAGTTGCAACAATTTGTTCATTTATTTGAAATATATAAACTTTTATTTAAAAAATTTCTCTATTTCAGTATCTGTATTTCAAACAAACAGGAGCATAAGAGATAAGTTTTGAGAGCTAAGCCCGCTTGAAAACGTTCAAAATGATGAGCTGCAACTTATCGAAGAGTATGAGTCGTTAAATGAGTCTGCATCTAACGAAGGAGTCTACACATCAAATTTTGCAGGAAAAAAACTTTAATCATAGAAATTACAAATCATAATTCAGGTAATGAAGCTGATAAAGAAAATATAAATGGCAGAAATGGTAACTATTTTAAATGTGATATTAAATAAGTTTCCTGAAAATGTCATAATTGATTAAATGACATTTATTTATGGCAAGTTTAATAAATAATAAAAAATGTAATTACAATTTGATTTCCTTTCTGATTCACTCTATTTTTTAAGTATTACATCTTCTTAGTTTACATCCTGACAATAATGTGTTATATATATTAGCAATTTATCTTTGTAAAAAATTTGAATATTTATCTACAACAGAATACATAGTCATTAAAAATTAAAATTAAAATTTTCTATTGCCAGATTTAAAACCCAAAAAACTGCGGCCATTTTATCAATTAATATGCCGTGTAGGTAAGAAACACTAGATTTTCATCGTTTAATCGGATGCATTCGTTTACGTAGTGTTTTGTGCATTCTCTGCTTTCTTATCTGCTCGTCATGTGATCGAAATTTACCGAACGGATAACTGCGTGAATAACACGGATCTTACCTTCCAATAGAAATTGAGCCGATTGTTTGAATGATAAATAAAGACAATTTTATACATAAATTTATATTCAAATAATTAAAATGTAATAAACTTTTTATTGTATAAAAGATATTTTATTGATATTAAATTTAATTGATATAAATAATGGATATTATAAAAATATTTAATTTATAAAGTTTACTTAAACGTCAGATATTAATTTTTTGTGAATTATATTTTATGAATTATATTATTCTTATTTTTTCTGATTTCTTTTTATTTTTATTCTTATTTTTTCTTATTTTATTTTTATTTATTCTTATTTTTTCTTATTTTTTTATTTCATCTTATTTTAATTATATTATTATTCTTATATAAGTAAACTTGGATTAATTATTTGTTTCTGATCCTTTTCGCTTCTTATTCTAATAAAATTCATTTTGGTGTTCGTTTACGCAGTACTGCAAGCAAAACATCCAAAGTAGGATTTCTGAGATAGCTGCACAGATGAGATACATCCCTGCGTAAACGAACGATGAACTGCGCTGCAGTCACTTTGCAGACGGAATAAACGAACGACATTTACGGTGAGTGCATAAACTAGTGACTGCATAAACGAATGCACTCACTATGGGTGCGTTCCACTTATCTCTCGCAACGAATACGACTACGCAATATTTACCGTTTCACTACCTTGCGGACGCTGTGGACAAAATTTTAAACAATCGTGCCGACCCACCTACGAACCGTGGGCTCGATGCGGTCGCGATTAATAACGTCATCTATAACGTTTGCGATCACAACGGTCGTTATGTGGAATGAGTTTGCGGACGCTGCGAATGTTAAGTGGAACGCATCCAAAATGATGAAATCCATCTGAGACTCGTCACTTCTCACTGATTCATTCTAAGAGAAAACTTACGATCGATGCCCGGGACTTACACGATATTTTCTCGAAAAGTAGAGAGGATAATGTTGGTAACAACGAAACTTTCAGGTAACATAATTTTAATTTGCATGCAGGTTAGTAAAACTATTCAAGTAGTAATCTATTAGTTTGCATAATCTTTTTCTGATATATGACATTTTTTGACATATGTGCACACGTATGTATGATAAATATTTTATTGTAATATTTTGTAAATGTAACTTTAAAAAATATTGTGACATTTAAATAAAATTAAATAAAAATGACACACAAAGATAAAAAATATAAATAGAGACATGCATAGAGATGAACAAAGTGAAAAATAATAGTATTATATGTATATATGAGTGGATAAATTATTATTACACGTAATAAAACAATTTTAATTTGTCAATGTTTTGACGTGTCCTGATAAATATCATTCATAGTTGTCATGCATCGATTTTTTGCATTGGAATTAATTTTGCATCATTGTTAATTGCAGAATAAAATCTGTGCGAGATGAAAATAACATAAATAGAGAGATAAGAAGAAGAAGATGAGAATAAACAAATACATATCAGATAAGTAGCTAATATTTTTATAAAATAAAAGATTATGTTTCTATATGCTGTCTGTAATTGTAGATATTGTTGGATCGATTCTTTGATTAATTTGTTTGTTCCAGTTAATCACATGCTTGCAGAATATTAACAGTCAGAAAATGATTTCCTGCGGAGCAAGATCATCAAATTTTGAGTGTGAATTTTTATTCCCGAGTGCGTTTCAATTGTGAACAAAAATTGAAATCACATCCTAACGTCGAATATCAAAGCAGGACATTGATCACGTAAGTTTTTCCTTAGAACGAATCAGTGAGAAGTGATGAGTCTCATGTGGATTTTATCATTTTATGATCACATAATTTTAATTCCGGTAAAAGCGTGAGATATTTAGCCCTATACATCACAACATCCTTTAGAAACCTTTTTAGAAAGATAAGTCGGAAATTAATATTGAAATATAACATAGAAATATTTCAGAAATGTTGGGGAAATATTTCGTTGAAATCATTTTTTACTTTTGTTACTAAAATATTTCAGAAATATTTTGAAACATTTCATAGACTTAGTTTATATTTAACCGTTTAATCCCGGTTCACTTCAAAATGAAGTGGATTTAGGGAGCGTTTACACCAGATTGATCTCTGCTAAGAAAAGAGGATTAAAGTGAGTCGAAAATTAATCTGTTTACACTTAAGAAATATTATTTCATTCCGAAGTGAATCGGGATTGAGCGACTTGGTGTAAATTAAGTTATAGAAATATTTCATACGTAATATTTAAAACGGGAACGTCCCATTTGACCACGTTGTTATTGATCACAGCCACTCACAGCGGCCGGTGCCTAGAGGTTTTCCTCTGTTCAAATGTTATGAATAGCTGGTGGTCAATTGCAACGTGGTCAAATGGGTGCCACCCGTTTAAAACATATATCATTGAAAAATTTCAGAAATGTTACATCGAAATATTATATAACAGCTAATATTGAAATGTTCCTAACAAGTTACCAAGACATTTAATAGAAATATTTCTTATTTGATTTCTAAAATAAAATATAGAATATAAATATAGAATTTACACAATAAAAAGTTTCACAGAACTTTCAAAAGGTTGAAATGTTTTTGAAAAATATCTGAAAACTTTGAAACTTTTTGTGCTGTATAACAAAAATTTCAGAAAACATTATATTGAAATATAATTATTAAAAACAGCTTTCTAAGGCCTGTTCTACAATGCGTTGTGT